TAATCACACGTACTTCAGAAATAAAGCTGATGATACAAAGACATTGATTAACTCACAGGAAGACACTGACATACATGTAACATCAGACGACTTTAAGAAGGTCGTATATGAGGCGCATGGAATGCAGACTGGTGTGTTTTGTTTACCGACCTCACCTGTACAAGCTCGGAGTCGCAATGAGTTTTGTTGTCGAGCGAGTTACGCTCTGTCAAATAAATCATTTCACAAATAGTGGTTTGTAAAATATCAAAATCCCTATAAAACGAAGTGCATGTGCGTGCACGTGATAACGGCATACCATGCGATAGCCTATGATAACATATGTACCTGATATATAAATATACCATGCATAAGCGGCCTATGGAATGATGTCCAACGTGTACATGATTGAGAGAAATATTATTCCGTAAAAGAACTGTAAATTGACAATTTGATATAGTAATTTAATTTATTTCCGTCGTTTTTGGTATAGTAAAGAAAATAGCTGTCATTGTATAAATTCTATCCCTCTGCAAAAGTTCCGATTTTTTTCAAGGTAGACAACTCTCATCGCAATCAAAATTATGGTAAAATGTAAAATGTTTGGTTCAAATTTTCACTCTTTTTGTATGAAACTATGTGGGTTTTTTCGGTATTTTTCATAAAAAAAAACCAGTTTATCAGAATCCTTATATTTTCATAAAATCATCTCTACATAATGACATGACCATTATGTGAAACTTTCATTGAATTCTGCTGGTTACTTGCGAAAGGGTGGAGCCTCCTTAATACAGATGAAATGAAGGAAGATTTTGAGATGTTCCCTGAATTTACTACTCTCAGTGTCCCTCTCTGACTCCGTGCTAGGTCTGCCTCAAAATGAGAAATGTCTATTAAACTGTTGAATACTGTTTATGCAGCGAGTGTTTAATGTTATCTATCATGTGACTGTGAAGTATTGTGTATACAACAAACTTTCTATCACATGCTATGTATTTATGAACCTTTAACTTAGTATCAATTCAGTGACGATTTTATTTTATTAATTCAATGACCTTTTTTTTATATTCAGTGAACCGTCTAGGAGAGATCCGTGACGACCATGACCCTAACTGTACTTACGAGGGAGACAACAATGTGATCCTGCAGCAGACCAGTAACTACCTATTAGGACTGCTGGAATCAAACATCAGAAGAGGTATCACAGTCCTCTGATACTGTAGTTAAAGCTTTACTTAGGACAATACTTACAAATTTTATAATGTATGTCAATTTGTTTTTATTGAAATTACTGCACAGATGATGATTAACAATGTGTGAAGAGTGGTCATTGGTCTGTATTTCTGATATTGGTTGATTTATTTACACTTATTTCCTATAGAGTATTCCTACATATCTACCAAATCATCCAAGATCAGCTGGGAAGTCATAATTCTGAAATTGACATAAATTTTACGCGAATTGACTTAAAGAAATTTTACTTGATTTCTGCTTGTTACACAATCACGTATACACCTAGGGTAATAAACTATTGTTCATTGAATGTGTTAAGAGTGTGCAGGTTAATTTCTGTATGGTTACCTTTTACAGGTGAGGCGATCAATACCCCACTCAAAAGTGTCAACTTCCTCTCTGATCTTGACGGGCTGCTCCAAACAACCTTTGAGGCTCGCACAGTGGAAGATTGCTTCAACCCCGAAGGTAGCTTTATGTTTTATGTAGAGATCAGAAAGGTTAATGAAGATATCTGTGAGAGCATAACATGTAAATTACTATCTCACTTGTATTGTTCATAAGAGCATAACTTATACAGTCCTTTCCCTGTGACAGTGTCCCTGAAATTGTAACTTACACTTTTGGTTCCTTGTGACAGTATCCTTGCGAGCCTACAAATGGCTAGTTGGTCGTCTGTTGGTGGACAGTGCTGAACGCCTTAAGGAGCAGGGCCAGGCTGGTAAAGACGCCTTCTCTGCAAGGAATGATAGTCAGGCCTACTATTGTCGCTCTCTGGCTCTTGCCTACATAGAGGTCAGTATTGTACACCAAAAATGTCTTCATAAACAGAGTTGTTGCTATAGAAAAGTGAATGATTGTTCAAAGAGTTTAATTATCTCTTGTTATACTGGTTCAATGAACTTAAGATGTGTTTGACTATGTGATGGTAATTCACTGTGTTGAATTCAATTTTACAATTATCAATTTTTATATGACAGCACACTGTCCTGGACAGGTTCCATCAGCTGGAGATGGAAGGCAGGAATGGTGACACACCTCCAGAACTCAAACCAGTCCTCAATAAGATGTGTGCTTTGTTTGGACTATGGAGGCTAGAGAAACACCTGTCAACACTGTATCAAGGTAGAATACTCAGTGTATCCTATATAAACTAATCCCTGTTTAACCATGAACTTTTCTACGTGTTCTTTGCAGTGAAGAGTTAGTAACTGCGACAACACATTGTTTGTAAAATGATACATGTATCGATAAGCTGTAAGCTCAAGATCACTAAAATTAAACAAATTGAATTGAAATTTAAACTGTAATGCTTCTTTGAAAATATCTATACAATCTGAAAGTGATGTTATGTTTTATACAACTATGAGAGTAAATGTGATATCATATCTTGAAAAAGTTAATTAGACTGACTATTTGTGAATTAACATCATAATCAATATTTACACACTACCATAGAGGTATTTTTGGAAACTCATTCCACTCCATTTCCAACACTAGGGGGATACATCAAGGGAAGCAACCCTCCAAAGCTGATCCAGGAAGCTATACTCAAACTTTGCTATGCTCTCAAGGGCGAGGCCGTTTCATTGGTTGATGCTATTGCTCCAACAGACTTTGTGTTGAACTCTCCCATTGGTCTGTCAGATGGACAGGTAGGCTATCACTTTTGTTTTTAAGAAGAATTGTATTTCTAGATTGGTATATACTTGTATCTACTCCAGATTTCATGTGGTTTATGTCATTTTTAGCGACATTCTCATGCCTGTTTTAAATCAACACATTATCTTAGTCGTAGTCTGTGGCACCTGATTAGGGGGGATTAAATCTGAGGTAAAGGGGTTTAGCTACAGATAGGGGGTACCGAGCATGACAGGGCTAGAAAAGGTCAGTTGCTAAATGATATGTAGAAAATTAATGTATCTATGGGGCAACTTCCCATTGAAAAGAAGTATTTCACCATTGTTTTTGTTATCTTGTATCAGCAGTGGGAAAGTATATAAGGATAGAGGCATGGATCTTATTAACTTCTTACACTTCTACTTTATAGAGGCTATTCCAGAAATGTATGTATGCAGTGGAGAGGGTAAAAGGACAGGGAGCTCCAGGCATTTCTAGAATTGCCCTACTTTTGACTTTTATTTCATATTGTATATATTTTCATTCTCAATTTCAGATTTACAAGAACCTATATGGAGCAATGATCCAAGGACCCAATGCTTTGGAGCGTCCTGCTTGGTGGAAAGACTTTGTTGATAACAAACCTGTGGTCGGCTCCAAGTCAAAATTATAAAATACAGACAGAAGTTACACAGGCTATGTTTGTGTATTGTGATAAATCAGAATGAGCTATTTCTTGTGGAAGACATTTGAACAAATAACTGTTTAAGAGAACAGTGGATGTTATTTAATGCAAAACATTGCGAGATACTCTTGTTTGTTTAACCTAAATCGTGACCGATTACACCTGATACTGTGACTTGTTATACACGACCAGAGTGTATGGTACGTATTATCTATCACGACCAGAGTGTATGATACTGTAAAACTTATCAGATAACTACCCTTTTATCAGTGTGTAACATGTACACTGATTACATTGTGTTATTAATGTGTTTATGAACACCTAGCTGAGCTGTGATTAACCATAGGTTCCCATTGTTCCAGTTGTGACGTAATAACCAGGATAACTTCACGACATCATAGACTTCCAATTTCATAATGATGTCACTAAGTAGAGTAACTCGGGTTGATAATTTAGATTTTTGTTAGCCAGGGAAAATGTTGTTTTCACTTTGCAACAGATCTTGGCTATGTGATATCAACTTTTTCACACAGATAATGAAGTACATGGGCTCTATAACGGTACATGAAAATAACTTACTCTGTTATAAGAACAATTCACATTAAGTTCACAGTAAATGAATTTTACTCTGCATTGTATAGTACATAATAATATTTTACAAGTGCTTCATTTAAAATTTTTACTTTACTTTTTCAAATTTTTTAATCAGCAACATTATGGAAAATATTTGTATGTAACTAATACGAGTTCTTACCGGCATGAACATTGAAAAAAGACCATCAATATATGTATTTACATTCTGACTGATTTACAGTGATTCAAATGCAAGGTTTCCCTAATATCTGCTGAATGAAAAGTCTGTATTATCAGTGCAAACATTATTTTTCCAGCAATGTACAGTGATCTCAATCTGTTTGAGTCGGGAACATCCTGATGACATAGACCCAATGTCATTCAATTGCTGTATGAACACAATTTCTTCAAGTAGTGGTTTGCAGTGCAGATTTAAATGTCTGTCTGTAAAAGATTACATCAATGTGTCGAACACCTGCAGACTAAGTCACGTGAATATTTATCATTGCAAAATTCAATCACTGAAATTGAAAACATCAATTAATCACCATTCATGTTTTCATTATTTATTTATGATATGGGTATTAAGTCTTATTTATATCTTTTTTTTATTAATTTGAATTAATTTCATTCCTTTTAAATGAATATATGTTTATTTTTATATATATCGGGGAAAGTGTAATGCACATGTAATAAACGAGTAAAATTCCAGGTACATTTGGTATCATTCGTTTAAAGGTATCAAGTTAAGTCCACAACCTATCTGCAAAAGTGTATCAGATAAAGTTGTTCTGTACAAAGGATAAATACAGGGTTTCCCCTACCTACACAAGTAACCTACCAGCACGTAGTACTGTTTCATCTGTTTGTGTATTTTATTACAAAAAGGTTATGCATTTGCATAACATTTACACACACATAGGTACATATATATTGCCCCATCAAAATACTGAATGCAGAATATACGTAGAGTAACAAGAAAACGTCCATGTTAACCATGTTTGTGGTGCTAGCTCAAATACAAGTAGTCTGGTTGCATTCCATTTGTCATCCACTTTTCTTTGACAGAAATGATGACACCAATCAAGCGGATATTTTTTTGTCAGAAAATTTTATAACTGACACCATTTTAAATTTAAATCATGTTACAGATTGTTACAGCTTGTGACTTGAATAAAATTTTGAATTAAAGGCCAAATGGCCTTTATCACTAAAATAGTTTTATTTTTATTTTGAACAAATTTGACCTCTGTGACCAACATCATTCATTCCATGGGCCAATATGTATTTTACCACTGAAAGTATCCCAGTGTACAGTATCTTGATTCTGTCTCTCATGGTTCGTTATGAGGAAAAAATTGGAAAGTTTTTAACACATGTATCCATGTGACCTCAATTGTGAGTCAAGGTCATTTGGAACAAAATTGATAGCCATTCATCCCACAAGTTACAGGCCAAATATTGTTATAGTCATCATGGTTCTGGAGTCTTTGGAGGATATAATACATTTTAACCAAGTGACTTTAACAGTGAGTTGAGCCCATTTAAATCAACAAAGTTAATAGATAGTAACTGGAAAAACTCCAGGATGATTGTCATGAAATTGAGTGCTTCAAAGTACTATGGTGGCAGAGTACAGTAGAAATGGCTTGACCCTAAAAATAAAGGGCATCTCTCGGATAAACATGGATAGCGGATTCATCCTGCACAACACACCTACATATATATATATATTTATAAACTACATGTTTAATAGGTGTTTTTTAGAAGAACATTTTCTTTTTCAAAAAGCAATTTCCCCAGATTTGGGACTTCTGAAAACCATGGTTACCATATCAAAAAACACCAAAATATGCAAAAAATCATGATTTTTAACCCAGAATTTGACCCCCGCAAGTAGAATTGTTTTTCTTAAAACCTGTCTGAAATTAAATATCGCCTACTCGGTAACAGAAATACTCACGTTTTAGCATAGGTCATTCCGGTGGATTTTTCACAATATTTACACATGTGCTGAGTACAAAAATAGACTACCTGAAAAGCTAGCTTTTGTTGTGTAGACACAGATTCGTAAATGCCCAAAATTGTAGTCTCAAACCAAATTCGACTTTTCTTTTTTTTAAATTATGAAGCCCACATAGTCCACTTCATCATGTATATGCCAATTTTAGTGCTGATTTTTTTTTTAAATTTTGATACATGTTATATTACAGGGGTTATTCATTGTATAAAAATATCACCCATGGCCACCGTACGCTACTGTACTCTGCTACCTTATACATCCCTTTTTTTCCCCAAAAATTCAATCAAAACCTTTTAAATGTCTGGAAAATGACACAATGAACAAAAAGATGTATCCGTTTCCTTTCTCACTTTAAAAGTGACCGAGTAATATGAATTCTCCTGCTAGGTGATTTTTTACCAATTCTGCTCTCAAACTACCAACAAAGGGAGGTAATCTGAAAAATTAAAACTTGAATAACTTTGTAGTTTTCAGGAATAATTTTTTTTTTGGGGTAAAATATGATGCTTTAAGATCATGTGCATGTGAAAAACAAAACAGAACAGTGATACAAGGATGTTTCTGTCTTGTGTGATGACGTCATAGTTACTGTGATGTCATCATAACTATGACGTCATCAATGGGCATATGTGACATCATCAAGGCTCACTGATATCAAAATGAATACCAGGAAACCCATCACAACAACAAACTAGAAACAGACACACTTCCCGTAACCGATGAACAGCACAAAACTGTCAGATATTCTGAAACATCAGACAAATGACACCATAGCAACCGTTGTTTACTTTCCTCGCCTAGAATTGACAGTGACCCCAGACATTGGTCATTTTACATATTTCACTAGAAAAAAAAGTTTTCTTCAGCTGTAATTATGGAAATAAAATTTATTGACATTATTGACTTTGTTAATTTAATCTGTAAGCTGAATCAAGTGGAAAAAAACATATAAAATAGTGTAATTAGAATGAAAACAGATATTTTACCCATTTTCAATAAATACAACTTTATGTGTTAGTTACCATGGATACCGGGTGCTGAACTAAGTGAAACAGACTGAAATCTGGTCTGAATGCATCAGGAGATAGCCTGTTAATTATTTGTTGTTTGGTATCAACTTTACCAATTACACAATTGACACATATGTGATGAAGTGTGAAGTGCCTGTGAAAAGGGCGAGTTAACCCCTCTTTATACATTCACAGGTAATAGGCTAGTGACCTATATATTGACCTTTATATGTAACTTTTTAAACGTTTTGAGTAGTTTTAAGCAATAATGAATGAAAGTGAAGCTGAATAAAGCATAAAAAGGCTTTTTTTCAGAAAAAATCAATGTCTGTGTGTATAAGGTGGCAGAGTACAGTAGAAATGGCTTGACCCTAAAAATAAAGGGCATCTCTCGGATAAACATGGATAGCGGATTCATCCTGCACAACACACCTACATATATATATATATTTATAAACTACATGTTTAATAGGTGTTTTTTAGAAGAACATTTTTTTTTTCAAAAAGTAATTTCCCCAGATTTGGGACTTCTGAAAACCATGGTTACCACATCAAAAAACACCAAAATATGCAAAAAATCATGATTTTTAACCCAGAATTTGACCCCCGCAAGTAGAATTGTTTTTCTTAAAACCTGTCTGAAATTAAATATCGCCTACTCGGTAACAGAAATACTCACGTTTTAGCATAGGTCATTCCGGTGGATTTTTCACAATATTTACACATGTGCTGAGTACAAAAATAGACTACCTGAAAAGCTAGCTTTTGTTGTGTAGACACAGATTCGTAAATGCCCAAAATTGTAGTCTCAAACCAAATTCGACTTTTCTTTTTTTTAAATTATGAAGCCCACATAGTCCACTTCATCATGTATATGCCAATTTTAGTGCTGATTTTTTTTTTAAATTTTGATACATGTTATATTACAGGGGTTATTCATTGTATAAAAATATCACCCATGGCCACCGTACGCTACTGTACTCTGCTACCTATATATGTTTGAAATCTGAAGCACATTTGATTGCACTATTGTCTCCGCTTGACCAGATATTATTACTCTAGGGCATCAAATTTTAAAAGGCTCCAGAATCACAAAATTTCGATCTTTTAGGAACATTCTGCCTAAAATGTGAATTGAAAAGGCAAAATATTGAGGATTTTTTGAATAAATTACATCTAACTTCAAAAAGTGGATGAATTGCAGATCTCTAACTCTAGATTATACAAGGAAATATGATATTTAAGATAAGAATGATCCAAGTTTAAACTTATTACTTGAGTTACTTCCCTTTAATGCAAGCACTCTTATTTGGCTATTACTGTCGGACACTTTTATTTACCACTGATGTTAAACACTCGCTGATATTTTGCCTGTAGCTGTATATTAGTCCACTTTTAAGATTACAAGTGTGGGATTTATACCAGGTGAGTGAGTCGGGCCCATTGGGCCTCTTGATTCTAATTGAAGTCCTAAAATGTATGCTTCTCTATTGAGAAATTATGTATAAAAGCTAAAATCATGTCAGAAAAAAACAGTGATCCTTAGGAAGAATTGTGATATTTAGGCCTGACCAATTGATGAGTCCATAGGATTTCTTCCACACGTGATTCTTACCTATTTGGTAATACAGTGCAGCGGTTAAAGTTGGTGTTTAAAAAACTAGAAATTCTCAATAGAATATATATATTCAGTATTTATTTCAATAACTTAGAGAAAGCATTCTACATTACATCATCGGCATATTGTCTTTCCACAATAATCCACTTAAATTCAAATTACAAAATGGCATCATATGCAGACAATTCACCAAATAAATATGTTTTTTGCTTAAACAAAGACTATGTCTTCAAATGACAAAAAAGAAAAGAAAGAAAATCTTAGTCCTGCTGAAGAATTGAAAGTATATATGTAATAATCAAACAATTAAATCACTAAAACTAATTAACAACCGATTGCAACTAGACAGTTTAAAACATGCGCACACACCTTTATAGACTTCACATCCAAATCTTGTGTACTTTCACAATTAACAATAAGAGAAAAATAAAAGGAAAATTGCTAGTCGACATAAAAGTGCCATTGCGCTTCTAACTTGAACACATACACATAT